AGCATCATCATCAACATCATCCTCGTCATCATCAGCATCATCAACACATTCATCGTCATCACCATTAATATCAACCTCATACATGTCCGCATCACCAACTTCACCATGTTAGCAATCGTGGACCCCACACATTGCGTTTCTGGCAGACTATGTGGTCAAGTTCTGTCGTGCGATATAGGTTGTGCAATATATGTGGTGCAACCTGTGGTGAGCATGCTGTGAAACCTACGCTGTTCTATAATTTGTGTATGTGGGGTAGGGTATGTGGTAGAATCTACGTGATGCAATACAGGTGACGCCATCTGCATTGTACAATAAACGTGGTGCACTCTAAGTGTCTCGTAAGGCGTTTGCAAGTATCTAAGGGCCCCACCCATGTATCTACGAGCAGCCAAAGGTGCACAGTTCCTCCCCCCGACGACACAGTCCCTAGTAATAACATGAGGTCGGCCATGTCCTCCTACAGGGGGATTTGGGACGAAAACGAATTAAAAGTACAAGACACAGACTCACAAATGGACAAACAATACTCGAAACATCGCCCCCCCGACAAAGTTCTGTACGATTTCTGAATACTCCTCCTGTAGAGGGGCATGCCCGACTTCACAATCACAATCGACACGCGCTCCCGAGGCCACGATCCCTGGAACAAAACCATGGGTCCGCGCTCTGCAACTTGCAACACGGCCGAGGCAGGCTGCCAGGGCCGCCAGGACGGCCCACGGTGCCTCCGATGACGGCCCAGCATGGCCCCAAGACGGCCCGGCATGGCCCCAAGACGGCCCGAGCGGCCTCCGGACTTCCAGCTGGAGCCGAGGAGGCACATGTGATTGACGGGTACTCCAGAGTTCGTAATGAACGGGAGGGGGTCTGGACCCTCCAAGACAAGCCATTTCCGACCCCCCCCGTGGGAGAACCCTCCAGAACATCGTCCCCAGACCCCCCCAGGCCCTCCAAGATAGCCTGGAAGAGACCCCCCCCGAAATGAATCCCCCCCCCCTTTACTACGAAATCTGGAGTCTCAAGCATCTGGTACATCTTCGCGTTCTCGCCTCTTCGGGCTCCCGCCGGCTCCAGACGTCGCAGAAGGCCTCCACGGAGGCCCCAGGACAGGACCGCCCGAGAGGGCCCCGAGAGGGCCCCAAAGACGGCCCGAGGAGGACGACACCACGATGGCCCAAGAGGCCTCCACGACAGCCCCGAGTGCCCAAGAGGGCCTCGAGAGAGACCCAAACGGCCCAAGGCGCCACCAAGACGGCCCCACGACCGCCTCGGGACACCCCCCATAAGGCAAAGAGGGCCACGAGACGGCCCAAGAGAGCCCCAAAACTGCCTAAGAGGGACCCAACACAGCCCGGGCGCCACAAAACGGCCCCAAGCGACCACCAAGAGAGTTCCACAGGAGCCCAACACACCGCAAGGACGGCCCAAAGAAGCTCCGTGAGAGCTCCTCACGATGTGCAGACGACATGTGTCACATGCGACGGCCTTCCACTTCCTCCGTCGTCGCTGTGCGTGGCCGCCCAGTCGGCTGGGCGGGCACTGGCTGGCGGCGAGCCAGTGCAAGCAAAAACCATCTATTATATATGACGGACCCCACAGCACAGCCGGCTGGCTCAGCTGCACGGTTACCCACGGGGACGTAGGCGACCCGAGGAGGAGGAGGAGGAGGAGGAGGAGGAGGAGGAGGAGGAGGAGCAGGAGCTCGATGGTCCAGGATGCTCTTCGATTGTCCTCGCCGAGAAAAACAAAGCACACGTCCGAGAGATGCCGAGCAAAGGGCTAGCGTTGACCCTAACGGGCCAAGCTGACTGGAGGCACGAAGTGGCGTGTCCTCAGGTCCCTTCGAGCTCCCTGCGCTGGGTATGTATGCAGACGACCGCTTCCGGGGCCCGGGGCCCGCACGGGCGCTCTCCTGCCCTGCCGGGCACTCTTGGGCGCTGGCGGGGCGGCTCGCGTGGCTTGTCCAGAAGCCCAGGGAGCACCAACAAGACGGTCTCTGGGCCCGTCATGGGGCCCACTGTGGCGCAGCTTGAGCCGTCCTAGTGGCCCTGGACTTAAGTCGGGCCTGTCCCCCTACAGGGGGATTTTGGATGAAACATGAGAAATAGCCAAGAACTGCCCCAAAATGGCAAAACAATGCTAAACAAATCGTCCCCATACTATGTTTGACTATTTTTGGATATTCCTCCAGTAGGGGGACAGGCCCGACTTAACCCTGGACCTCCGAAACATAGTTCTGCTCAGTTGTGTGTTGTTGGCCCTCGATTGGTATGATTGAGATGGTCGTCGCCCCGTCCTCTTCCCACGACGGATAAGAATCCTGAGGGAAACGGGTTCTGAATACCCTGAAAGCTTCCCCCATGATCGGATATCCTGCATCTTTGGCGGTCACGCGGCCAGGGTGGAAGGGGACCAGGGAGGCTGACAACTGCGTAAAGCCAAGACGAACAATTTGCACCAGCACAAACTCTAGGAGGTCCGCACGGAGCTCCACAAGTTATGTTTACGCCGTTTTCTTCTTCGACTAACGTCTGTATGTTCCTTGTGATCCTCCAGCTGTCACACCCAAAGACGTCCTCAGACACATCCCAGGGACCATCCTTTGATTCCATCCCAAGAACCATCCTGGCAAACTTTCGGGTGGCGCCCGGCCGCGGCGATCGAGGGGGGCCGCCCGAAGGCCAACACGGCAGGGCCCATTTCGCTACTGGGGGTCCACCTGCGTCGTGGCGATGCACCTGACGCAGAAACGGCCTCCAGGACCTCGGATCCTCGCGCGTCGACCGCCACACAACACGCCCGCGTCCCCTGAGACATGGGAGCGACCCTGGCGCCGACCCCCAGGGAACAACTGGGAAGCGAACCTAGAAGAAGATATTAGGCCATAGACAGAAGCTTTTGGCGCTCCGCGCGGATTTCTTGGATCCGCGCCAGGGGGAGCGGCGCCTCCGGCGCCGCCCAGAGGGGCCCCAGCGCGATCCAAGAAATCCGCGCGGAGCGCCCACAGTTTACGTTTATGCCGTTTCTTCTTCTTCGAAACGGGGAAGCCAATTCCCATTGGCGCGGGGGGCTCCGGTGCCGGGGCCGCGAGGGAGGGACAGTAGATGGACAATAGATCCGAACCCTTACACACTCGAGGGCGATTCTAAATCACCCCCGCGCCACCGACATCAATCTTGGTCTCCGTAAAGGCGGTGCTTTGGGGCTCGAGTATTTCTGTCCACTCACGCCCCCCCCCGTCGCCACGCCATCAAGATGAAGTTCGGGGGGTCTGGGGGGGAGGAGGGGGGGAGGAGGAGGACGAGGAGGAGGAGGAGGAGGAGGAGGAGGAGGAGTGCCCAGGAAGCTGGAAGCACGCACGGCTGGCTCTCGAGAGGTGGAGCACCCAGGGGCCACGCGCTGGACACACGGGCGAAGGCCACGGCGGCACGGGCCGTGGGCGGGTCTGGCCGCGTCCTGCGCATGCAACTTCGTGGTGCGCCTCCAGGCATGCGACGTCCTGATTTGTTCGGGACGGGGCCCCTGGAAGTCCCGACCCTTTCCCTGGGACCAGCTGTTCGTCCTGAGTCGCTTTTTTGACGGTCCCGAGGCCCGGCGAGGGCCCCCAAGGGCCGAACATAGTGGAAAACTTGCCGTCCTGATTTTTGTTTACGACGCGATCACGTCTGGGCCTCCTGCGGGAGTCCTCGGTCGCCTCTGGGACGCCGGGCCCAAGCCCCAGCTCGGCGAAGACGCGCCGCAGCGTCTTCCGGGCGACGTCGCGGCTGAAACCCGCCGGCCCCAGGGCAACGGGGGCGAACGGGCTCCTCCTGCTCCTCCTCCTCCTCCTGCCCCTCCTCCAGCTCCTCCTGCTCCTCCTGCTCCTCCTCCTCCTGCTCCTCCTCCTCCTCCTCCTGCTCCTCCTCCTCCTCCTGCTCCTGCTCCTCCTCCTCCTCCTCCTCCTCCTCCTCCTCCTCCTCCTCCTCCTCCTCCTCCTCGCCGCCCCCCCCAGACCCCTGGCGTCGCGGCAAGATCACGAGGCCTCGGTGGTCGAGGATTGAAAATCGAGGGCCGATTCTTGGGACTTCTTTGGCCCTTTCCTGCCTCCGGGGGGCCATGGGGTCCTCGGGGTCGAGGGGGGCTCGGGGGATCTCCGTAGACCTGCCTGAAACGGACCTCCAACTTCACGAACAAATTGGCGTCCCTTAGTGGGGGGCGAACAAACACATACACCGTTCCGCCTCCCTCCCACCCGATTTATCGGCCCCTCACTGCGCAACGCCCGAAAAAGATCGCAGACGCTGCCGACGGCTGCCCCTTCCCTCTCCCTCCTCGTCCTCCACCCCTCCTGGGCTGGCGCTCTGCATGGTGGAGTCGCCTGAGCCGCAGCGGTTAAGCTGGCAATGGTCTTCATCTCGGACGGCGACCCGATTCGAGGCTGCCTGATATTGCGAGGGCTTGTGCCGATCAGTTCCCTACACGTGGACTCTTGGGGGGCCCACGCAGGACCTAGGGCCCTGGGACATTCTGGGATTAGGTCGGGCCTGTCCCCCTTACAGGGGGATGTTGGAGGATATGTCTATATATATAAATAAATAAATAAAATAAATAGATAAACAAATAAAAAACAACCAAATAAATACATAAATACATAAATAAATAAATAAATAAATAAATAAACATAAATACATACATAAATAAATACATAAATAAAATCAATGAATGAATAAATAAATAAAAAAGCATAAAATAAATAAATAATGAATACACAAATAAATAAATGAATCAATACATCAATACATACATAATTAAATACATACACAAACAAATAAAATAACTAAATAAATAAGTCAATCAATACATAAATAAATAAATACATACATAAATACATCAATACATAATAAATAAATAAATACATAAATAAATAAATAAATAAATAAATAAATAAATAAATAAATAACTAAATAAATACATGTATACATAACATACATAAATAAATAAATGACTAAACACATATATATACATATTCATATATATATATATATATATATATATAGCTCAGAAAATACGGAACATATGCCCACTAATACTCAAAACATAGTCCCCATACCATGTTTTTACTATTTTTGAATATTCCCCCTGTAGAGGGGCGGGCCCGACTTCATCCTGGGACCATCAGACAACTCACACGCGACTCAGAAATGGCCCTCAGGGGCGGGGCTGAGAGGGCCGCGGGCCGACCCCACGACACACAAACTCGACGTCGGCTGCCCGGTCGCCCCCTCCTCCGCATCCTCCGCCCATCTCCCCTGCGTGCTTGCCGCTGCAGTGCCTTCCTGGTCTTCCTCTACCTCGCGGACGTTGACTTGCTCACGGCCCTCCTCACGCAGCACTCGAGGATGGTTCTTGGCGCGCCGATGACGGCAACACCAATCCACTCTCCCTCTGGAACTTCGCCCCCCGCTCCTGTCCACGGCGTACCTTGTCCTGTGCAAGCTCTACGGCACCGCCTGTACTCCGCACCCTCCAGCCGCCTGAGGCCAGGCCCGCCCGCGCCCTGTCTCCCCAATTAGGGCTTCGCGCGCCCCGCCTAGCTCTTAACCGGAAGGGGCCCGCTCCCGACCCGCCGACCAAAAAAGTGTTTGCCGCCACAGTCGGACTCGATTGGACAGGGCACGCGAGATGGCACGAGACCCTTCCGAGGGCCACCTAGCCACAGAAATGCAGGAGGCACGGGTCGCAAGACACGGGACTCAAGGATACCCTTGATCTGGCAGGGTCGACCTGCTAATCCGGGCCGCCTGTAGGCGATGCCTGTGCTCCCCTTGTGGGAGCGAGGCAGACAGAGAAAAAGAGAGAGAGAGAGAGAAACGGGTGGAGATGGTAGGGTGGAGGAGAAGAGAAATATCGGGGAGACGTAGGACTCGGGTTCGGGGGACTCGGGTTGGCCTGACGGGGCCATCACGAAAATGACGAGACCCGCTCTGAAATTGGACGCGAACTCCCGCTGCAAACATCCCACGAACACTGGACCGTCAAACTCCAGGACGCGCTCGTTTCCTTGCACCTAGCCTCCACGCTTTTTCTTTCCTGGGCCGCTCCCTCGTGCCAGAGCCATGGCATGCGTCGGCTTCCGGAGACTTGGGACCTCTGGCTGACGACCTCCCCAAGGGCATAAACATAGACTTTCGGAGGTCCGCGTGGACCTCCGAAAATCTGTGTTTATGCAATTGCGTCTTCTCCGACCCAACCCGACATCGGCATTGTGCGTAGCAATTTCCAATGGGGGGCATTCTGGAACATTGGGAACACACTATGGAACCTGTGCGCGCCGCAAAACAAAATTTAGAGGGTCTGAAGCCTGCGGGTTGGGTGGGGGTGGTTCGATAAGTAGTGACTGAAGGCGTCCATCTTACCCTCTCACCCTCCTCCTGCCGAAATCTGAGACGATGCCAATGCCTCAGGCCAAATTCGGACCGGGATGAATCGGTCATCACTGAGATCCGGCGGCCCTGGAGGATGTATCGAGCGCCGCGCCCGTTCCAGAGCGCTCTGGATACTCCGAGAACCTGAGCGAAGCATCCTTCGGGGCAACTCATGGGAGCATCCCGCTGCCATCTTGAAGGCTCTTGCGAATCGACGCCAACCGACGCTAATCAAGGCCAGTCCAAATCGGGGATATTCTGACCTGGGTCAATCCAGACCCGGGTCAGTCAGGCCTTGCAATATCCTGCAAGATCCTGCAAGATGCTGCACCCAAACTCGGGTCAATGCGAATGATCCTGCAGTATCCTGCGAGATCCTGCACCCAAAAACCCGGGTCGGTGCGAGCCTGGCCCTGCAGGATCCTGCAAGATCCGGCGCTCTGGCTGACCCCCGTTTGCATTGATAGGGGGCCACATGCGAACCCTACCCCTACCCCCCCTGAGGGGGGGGGGTGGGGTTCACTTCGCTCGGGAGCTCCCGAACGAAGTGAAACCCACCCTCCCCCTCAGAAATCGTGGGGGGTAGGGGCAGGGTTCGCAGGTGGCCCCCTAATTGACCCCCGCCTCAAGGCTCCTCGGGGTGCTCGACATGATTTCTGGGATGTGGTCCTCAAGTACGACGGGAACAACTCCTCCTCCTCCTCCTCCACCTCCTCCTCCTCCTCCTCCTCCTCCTCCTCCTCCTCCTCCTCCTCCTCCTCAAGGCTCCCGACCAGTCCAGTCCGGGAGCCTTGCGCCGGCCACAGCGCGCGCGCAGTGGGCGGAGCATGCGAACGGAAGCGGATATGTGCCCTCAGCACGCCGCCCGCGGGCTGCACCGCGCCCGCAGGCGGCGGCAGCGGCCCGCAGGACGCCCACTGACGCCAATCGCCGCTGGGTCGACGCCGCATCTCACCAGCCTGGAACATATCCCTCTCCCTATGTTGGGCATCTCCCCATCACGATGCCAATCTTAGGGATCCCCCGCTTTTTTGTGGGCACGTCCCTAAGATTGTCATCGCCTTTTGGCGTGTCAATCTTAGGGATTGGGATA